GTGATGTCGTCCTCAACCCCAAGGAACTGACTCTCTTATACGTCTTCCCTCCCAACGATCCAGACTACACCCAACCTCTCCATCCACCACTGCACCCTCATCTCACTCACCGGTTACCCTTTCCTGCGTGCTTACTTCCATGACATCTTCGACTTTTCCCAGCCAAGACATGGCAATTCGTATCCGGCAGTGCACGATCAATGCAACCTGTGGCAAATATAGCACCGCCCTGCTCTACCTCAACTGCAAGAACGTGGTACTAGGCGTTTTGAGGTTGTCGACTCATAATGACTAGGTAGCTTGTATCCAGAAGTGCACGATCAAGGCAGCACGCTCCAAATATAGCATCATCACCCACCTACGGCATCGTGATGGCTTTACTAGAACACCTGGGCACTCTTGACGTTGAAAGCCAAGCATCTGGTTGATCTGCCAGCCCTATGCCTTCCTTCCCAGTGTACGATGTGGCGAATCAGCAGGGGCGGCAGTGCGGGAAGCGTGCATACCGGTATCCACTTCTCATGCTGCAACAACCGCCACTAAACACACGATGGGCTAGGGTGAACGGCAGGAACTCGCCAGAAGTCGTGGGTAAATGTACTTGTGGAGGTGCCAAAAATAACGTTGTGGCGTCGTGGGTGTCGGTTGTCGGTTGCTTGTGCAAGGCGAGGGTTGCGATGGGAGGAGAGAGTGAGGGGGGTGGAGATGTAAGCGAGAGGCTACTAGGTTTCGCTATAGCTCACTGCTCGCCTGATGACGCTAGACTACAAAGAGTAGCATTCTTTGGTGACCGTCGTTTCGATCTGCTCTGTTCACAGTACTTGGATATTACTGCGACCTTGAGGGACATATACACAAGGTAACTGCTGAACGAGAGCAGCACCAGATCACCGCGACACATGGTGAAGCAACAAGCATCATCGCAAGGCGTTTTTCTCATGCAGGAACGGAGAATCCTCTATACCGTCATTAGCGTACGCGGACGAGACAGCGGACTTTAGCCACTCCGCCCACTGCGAGATTGCGTGTCAGCTGAATGTGTATTCGAACATGTATGCGCGATAACTACATCATCAGACAGCAGACCACCAAATCGAAACCATAGAGAAACATTTCCATGTGTTTGAAACGTCATCTCATCAAGCATCAGGCGAAAAAACACCGATGGCTGAAAGCCAGAACGTGGCTGACCACGCTTATGCATGCGACATGCGGCAGCAAGCATCCATGGATGTATGCACCAATCAACAGTAACACGACGGATGAATTGATCGACACCACCGGCCAAAGTTCGCCGTCCCATCTGACTTCAGAAGCCGTTGCAATTCTATAAGATACTCTCGTAATGGCGATTTAGTTAACTAGATTTGCCTCGTACCGCTGCAGAATAGCAGTGTAATCGTTATACCACTGCTCCAACCAACTCGTCGCATCGAACATACGTGTGGTGAAGCAACTCATGGTAGGATCCAGGACCTTCATGTACATGACCAGATTGCGCATTTTGAGTCCGAACTCTTCAATGCGAAAACAGTTGTTCGGTAGGCATTGGCCGTACGTGTTGGCGGGGTCGGTCGAAGCCACCATGACGGTGACGAGGACGAAAAGCGAGTATATGACCGTTGGTGCAAAGCAGAATGATGGGAAATTGACAAGCAAAGCTGGATCCATTTCTGCGGCTGTATCGAGGACGGCATGGCAGTTCTGGACGAGGGCTTCGAGACTCGCTTTGAGCGGGGCGATGATGATGGTTGGCTTGGGGAAGTCTTTGACGGGTATGCGGCCTGGGATGAAGGGCGCTGCGAAGGAAGCTTTGTTCGTGGGTGTGTGCAGAACAAGCTCGTACAGGTGAACCATGGCTGCGTGCCACCACACCTTGAGCGTCTGAGACGTTGCAAGGCTAGGTGGGATATGAGCGACCCATGCTTCGAGCTTGTTCTTCATGGTTTCGATTACGGCATAGGTGTTGTAATCGTTGCCGTCTACAAAAGTAGAGATCTCGCAGAGGTATAGTTGATTCGATATCTCCTGGTCTAGTTGCGTAATGCGAACGAGCTGACAGAGTAGCATGTCGGAAGCATCGCCTTGGCTTTCCAGGTACAGGAGACACTCCTCGTGGTAAGCGTTCCATGGGTATGGATTCGGCCTGCGCGTACTGATCGAAGAGCTTGAGAGTGCCATGTAGCAGGCTAGCCAGGTACGTCGTGCTTCCAGCGATCCCGCGTCCTGATGCCGGCAGAAGTAGGCTGGGGGAGTGGGCTGCAGCGAGTTTCCCGCGATGCCCACATCGATGGCCATGTCTGCGGCTAGCTGCAGGATCTGGTAACAACTCCCCATTAGACCTCTTCGCGGAAGCTTGTTCCAGTACGTGGCTATAAGCAGCGCCTGCACAAGTTCCAGCGATCTTTGTCCTCTGCCTAAGACCTCTTCGCCGAGGACGTGCATCGATTCGCGAATTATCTCATCGTGCGTTTCTAGATCTAATCCTTGCGCCTCTTGCGTAGTTGTGTATGCTATAATGCAGAGAAGTAGGATGGGAGCTTTTGTGCGGAGATATTCGAGATCCCCGGGAAGGCGTATGACGGGCCATGCCGACCCTGCTTGGTGCGCATAGAGTTGGATAAGGTGTTGTTGCTGGATAGGTGAGATGCGCGCGTCAAGGAACGACAAGATGGCTTCGTAGTGGTTGTCTGTTAGGCTACCGGGCGACCGGCCTAGCGTGTTGGTGGAGAGTCCGCCAGGGGAGCGACTTGGCGTTGGGCTGTTGTTGCTCTGTTTTTGAAGTAGATTGTTGAGTTCTTGAATCTGCGCCTCTAGTTCTTGGATGCGGTTGCGCTGAAGGCGCGGTGCTGCAGGGACGCATTCCAGGTTGTTGCGGGTGCATCTTTCGCAGCTTGCCGCGTCAGGATTGGTGCTAATGTCGCACTTGATCTTTAGACGATGGCACTCTTCACAAGCGCGAAGACGCTTCCTCATGGTCTTGTCTTCTTGTTTAGCCATGATAGAGGTATTTAGCTGTAGTCTATCGTGGGGCTCTGTCTATGACAAAGTGACTTTACGCCCCGGGAAAGCGCGCTTGGTTCATGACTGCAGGTGGCTGTGCCGTATACCACTACCAATACAGCGTGGCGTTTTGGAGAGGGAATTCGCCCGGATGGCCCGGTATGTCAGTTGTTTCAGATGCAGTGGAGGTTAGAGCTGGATGAGAGCATTCGAAGCTGTTCCTCGAGAATTGTACCTTTCATTGCCATCTTTCGGCATGGTCTTGCCGGTCAGCTGAAATTGCAGAAGGCGGACAAGTTGCCTGATTGGGTCTTGCCAATTCTGCCATGGAGATAGACGGATTTACTGCATCATCATGGCATTGTCGAAGTTTGCCTGTTAGTATGACCAAAGCAATGGCTCTCTGCCAGAATGTACGGCACTGCTAGTACATACGATCGATCAAGACAGAGAAGTACGCGATACTTGATTGAGCGATAGAATGCGAGTTTCCGTGCGTACGGTACCTCTCACGCGATCATCGGAAAGCAGGCCAGGGTGTCGGTATCGCTCTCTGAGCACATAAAGGCAAGAACAGACGCGTATATCGAGAAGTTCATATCGATGGCTAGCATGCCAAAGTAGCAGACCATATACTACCCCACGGGCACTACACCTCCCCCACTCCCCCAGACGAAGCTTGCTCGAAACAAGCTTGGCGGCCAAGACCCCGCACGCTTACCCGCCCTCAGCCTATCGCCATCACCACTCTGCCCAACTTTGCGCCGCGGCTGATGCTGGCGCGCCCGCGCAAGGGGGCCGTCGTCGTGCCATGCCATCTCTCTCATTGCACCCTTCCCTAGGTTACCACCGCCTTCTCCCCATCACCACCCCATCAATCCCACGATGAAGCCCCCAAAGTCCCTCCTCAGCCGCCTCCCCGGCATACGCTGGACCCCCTCCGACATCCCGTCGACCTCCCCGTCGACCTCGAAGCCTACTAAATCTCGGAACCCGTTTTCGCTCAAAGCCGCGCCGCCAGAGCACGGCACTGTGCGCCCGCGCGCATCCACCATCAGCCTGACGTCTGAGCCGGATGTCGATATCGAGGCGCGCACGCACGCGCAGGGCCAGAGCGACTTCTTCACGCGACTGCCGCTTGAGCTGCGACAATTGGTATACGAACATGTCATGGGCGCAGAGATCGTGCATCTGACACTGAGCACGAAGAAGAAGCGGTTCGGCCATTTCCTGTGCGACAGCGAGGGAGATGGCGGGAGGGAGTACATGTGTCGCGTGCTGGTGTTTGGTAAGAAAGGCGCGAGGTTGTACCCTGGTGGGCCGACTGTGCTGAGGGCTTGTAGGCGAATGTATGTATTCTCCTCCCCTTCTCATGGCAATCACAATCACAATGGTATTATGGAGACTGACTGTATTCTGCAATCTAGGTACTCGGAAGCGATCTCGTATCTGTATCGCGCGCATACCTTCTCCCTCCTCCATATCACGCACTTACTCTACCTCCCCGCTTCGATCCCACAACCGCGCCTGAATTCGATTCGCACGCTACATCTGCGCTGGGCTATCCGCGCACTGCCTTATATGAGTCGCGGTCCTTCAAATCGCGTCGTGTACCGCGACGATACTGCGAATTGGGAGAAAGCGTGGACGATAATAGCGAATATGCAGGGACTGAGGCATCTTCGGGTGATTTTGATGGATCCCAGCCCGCAGTGGCTCTGGCAGAGCGAGTGGATGGAGCTAGAGAATATGCTGCTGGATAGCGTGAGGATGGTGACGAAGCCGCGCGACGCTATTGTCGTGCTGCCGTATCCGAGTTGTAGGACGGACTGGGATATGGGGGAGAGTACGGTAAAGCTGAGGATATTCGGCAACGCAAGTGATGCTTCGGAGGATACTAAGTAAGACATGATCACTTTGCTTTATTGCGAGCGAGGTCATTTGAGCAATGTATGATATATTTCAAACTTGTTAGGATCTATATAAGGCTGTGTCGCCTACAACCCCATGCAGTTGGCATAGTAGGTTACTGAGGCCGGCCAATCTGAGAACATACCTATGATATTCACATCCTTGGCAAGCACGTCGAGCACGTCGTACATGTCGCCATCGTTGTTGGTCCGGTTGGCAACGTACTGGTAGTAGTATCCACCACCATCGATCTGCAACCATCCAGAGCGCTCAAATGACCACGCGATGATGTCCAAGTTGTGTTCCTGGCAAGCAATAGCATACTCCGACGGCACAATCTTGTCGTCGTCGTCCAACTTGGTGAGAGCGAACATAGCGGGCGCCATAATCTTAACGCCACGAGCAGCGAGCTCAGGGATGCTGGCAGTGGCATTGGCGTAGCCCTCGGGAGTATCAACGCGCTCGTCGAGATAGACAGCCTGAATTCCGAATTCAGGCTCGTTATCGATCCAGTAGAAGACGTCATCGGGCAGGAAAGACTGCAGCCACACACGGCTCGGATCGATCTCGTACTCGCGGAACTTGTCGACCAGATCTTGAGCATACGCTTCCTGTGTGTATCCATCGAAAGGCATCTCGACCTCGGGGGTCTTGAGCTCGGGCGCGTACTTCAGACCCCAGCTGTCGACCAGGGGAATGTAATCGTCGACCGTCATGAGCTTGGGGCAGTCTTGCGCGTATAAGTCGGAACGGAAGTAGGGTGTGCCGTCCATGTATTCCTCTACCGTGGTGCCGTTGGGGTTGAAGCCATCCATCTTGCCGCATAGGGTACCGAACTCCTCCAAAGTGATGTCCGAGGTGCAGCACTTGACCGACGCAGCAGTGCCATTGGCGGCGGGCGAAAAGGGGGTCGTGCACTTTTCGGCGAGTGTAGTGTTGAGGATGTTCGTCGTCGTGTGCAAGTCACATTGGGCGTGGCGGCAGACAAGCTGCTTGTCTTTGGTGAAAGCGACATCGCATTCGATCAGGCCAGCACCCATGCGGTGCGCAGCCTTGTAGCTCTGAAGAGTGTGCTCAGGGAATTGAAGCGGCGCTCCACGATGCGCAAGGACAAAGTCCGAGGTCTTGAACTCTTGCTCCGAGCAGCTCTCCAGCTTCTCCTTCAACGGACTCTCGTCCATGTTGTCGACGAGATAGTAAGGCCGGACGCCGACTTGGACGTTGAACTTGCTGTGCTCATGGCCATGACCATAGCCGTCTCCGCCACGGGGAGCAACAACAGGTACGGCGGCAGCGGACGCGAGTCCGACGAGGACGGAGGTAGCAATGAAAGAGCGCATCGTGAGCAGATCTCAACCCCGAAGTATCCGGGAACATGCAAGAGCGAACGGTTCCTGCAGGACAAGCATCCTGGCGGCCATGTCGCTTCTTATCTGCGCCGGGAAAAGGCCAGAGCTGTACAACACCTCGGATAGATCAAAGACGCCGAAGTACAGGACGCCGCACGGCTCGAGGTGTTCGAGCTGAGCTGCTCAGCTACTGCACGTGGTGGAGCTACCCTAGCTCGAAGCTCTTGGCTGTGCATGATGGCGGACGGAGAACGAGATGGTTGTGGAAAGCTATACGGGACGAGTTAGCTCGCCAAGCTGCCAAGTCCACGCCGCCTGTCACGTTGATCAACGATGCGATAAGATACGCGCGCCGGCACAGCGGGCGGAGCAAGACCTGTTCAAGCCGCTCGTGGGAGCTTGGGTGCATGGTTCCTGTGCGTCACCGTCATGTTGTGTCTTGGCTGCGTTTTGCTTCTTAGAGTCTTGTACTCCACCAGGCGGTGACTTTGGCCCATCGTCAATCTGATTGGCTTTTGCGAGGTCGTTGTATCCTCTCGGCTTGAGTTTGAAGAAGCCCCATAGGTCTTATGAGCATCCGCAATGCTCCACAGCCATTCCCGAGAAGCTGCCGTCCGTATGATTAAGATCGTCCGAGAGTCGTCCCTGGACGCGTCAGGACGCGCTGCTTTCCTGGTCGTCCCTCTCTGGTAGCTGGAAGACGCAGTTGGATTCGCCGGTATCAATCTCAGTCGAGCATCGCCAATTCGGAAGATTGATGACAAATTCTCTTGGAGCCGTGATTTTCTTGACAGGCTGCAGAATCTCCTTGCTGTTCTGTTCCCAGAATTCACCATAGCATCCCTGCCAGAGGTCGAGACAGAAGTACAACTTGATGTGTAATCTCTTGAGACCAGTCATCTTGCTCAACCCATCCCATAATCTGTACCACTCAACTCGGTGATGCACAGGCATCAGGTTGACCTGGAAGTATTGGTTGCGATCAAGGTCCCATTCGATGTTAAGATTGCTGATTTGCATGATACGTTGGGGCTGAAAGAAGTAGCAGAGATAGCCTGCCGTTGGAAAGTCTTCCAAGTCCGTGGACATGAAGAACTCATTGCTTTTGTAGAGATATTCGATACTTTCAGAATAACTAAGAACGGTTGTATGTTAGTCTTGTACTGGTACTGCGACTGTGCAACTACAATTGTATCTGACTCAACTTACATCTGCCGACACGTTCTTAGAAGAGGGAGTGCCAATTGTAGCTTCTGGCCTGGTGAACAAGGCATGTAGCAAAGGCAATTTCGAAGTATGCACCTTCGCGTCAATAGTTTTCCGTCCAAAACTGACGCATGTATGGTCTGTTCTCCCAGAGCCATCTCATAGATCATGCGCCGAATCTCCAACGGTAGTTTGCTCAGAAGCGCTGAGCGAGGCTGGGCCAGCGTCTTTTGGTCCTCTTGTAAGTCCCCTGACATGGAGAGTGCGCGTCTGCGAGGTGTCGGCATCGTTGGTAGTACTATCTCGTGTGAAAGATTTCGTCTTCTTCCATGTCGACCAGGGCTCAGAAATACTAGCAAGCAACAGATGCAAGGCGCGCAAACTGTCCACATGAGGCATTTGGATGTTTGCCATGCCACTGTCCGTAGGCAATTGCCCGTCTTTCTTCCAGCATTCTCCAGCTTGCTCCGGAATCGATTTGGCATTGCTGCGTTGAGAAGGAGTCGCGACAGTCGTCAAGGATGGCGATGGCGATGGCGACTTCCGTGGCGCACGAGCAGGCGGGTGAATGTCCGCGGAAAGCTCTCTGGCATCTGCAATGCCGCGAATGATGAACAAGAAGCTCTTCTCATTTGTCGATGCTACTCTAGCGGCGTCTCAGTCGTCGTCGAGACTGGAAGAGAGAGGCTTGCGGGAGTGATCGTTGTGACCTGTGGCGCAGTCATGGCCCCACTTAGCGGGCAGCCACGATGACGATGACGTACTGGGACCACAGGGAGTACGAGACACTGACTTTCTCTTTGCGCGCCGTTCACATACACATCTCACATCTTATGGGCTTCATATTCTTTACGCGTGTAGGTTTCTTTAGATACGCTGAATTTCTACCAGGAACGAAAGGCGCTCCAATCTTTAAAGGTTGCTGCGCAAATCACCCAAAGTGGGCCTCCGCTTCAATCTCAATCTTCATCGTCTTGTACAAAGCCACGACTTGCACTACAGTCATAAGAGGCCCGTGTCTCTTGCATCTTTCCTTCATATTACGGATGATCGGCTCCGCAATCTCATCAATCGGCACGGTAACGTAGATGCGCGTCTTGTAGACCTGGTCCCAGCCCTCCCCACCAGCCTGGCGAATGGCATGTTCGACGTTGTCGAAGGCTTGGTCGACCTCCTTCGAAAGCTCGTCTGGATACTCCTCGGTGGTACGATCCCAGCCTCCTGGATGTGGTCAACATTGGATAGCCTATACACTGTGGGCGACGTACCTTGGCCGGATACCTCAATGCGGTTGTCTATGCGGACCGCTTGGCTGTAGTTCAGATCTCGTTTTGATCGCTCGCCGAAGCCGGGATAGTTGAAGTACTGGAGATTCGACATAGTGGTCGTGTCGAAGTCAGACTGAAGATTTCGCGAGCTTTACTAGGCAAGACAAAGTATGCTGTTTCTATCCGATGCGTGGCCATATTTATGTACTTCGCCTACAGACACCCTAGAGGACTCTTCAAATAATGATGACAGGCACGAAGCATCACATTGTCGCGAAAGCTCTGCCAAGGCGACATTTGTAAGCTGTGTTTAGGCGTCCTATATGATGTACTTCTCCAGGCAACCGCAGGTTCAACCCACTGCACGACAAGATCTTGGCCGATGCGTTTCGACGGCGCTAAACAACACCCTCGGTGTTAAAAGGCTTAAATGCATGGACTTAAGAGATGACATCCGCAAGCTTACGAAGCCAGGATAGTTTCATGAGATGGCCATTGGCTTTCATGCTATGAAATGAAGGTACCTATATCCCTACTTCATGCCCAAGGTAACTCTCGGTAGAGTTTCCTTGCATCCTGCAACACCTGGTCTCCACAGGGGCAATTCTGATATCAGTAGGTGCCAGGAATGGTTGAAATTCACGTTCAACAACGTAGCACGTGTTCTCCTTCACGCTTCATTGGGTGACCCGAACACATAATTGACACGGTGGATTCTGCAACTATCGCCTCGATGGTACAGTTCTGGCTAATATAAGAGTACCACACGTCAGACCATGATGAATACACTTCCCAACGGGAACCATCGTTTACCACCATTCGTCGAAATCATCATAGTAACCCTCACCCCGCGGTGGAGAGCCCGACCTCTCCCGCCCACCCCAACCACCTCCACCATATTGCGATCCCCCATATTCTTCGACATCATCATAGTAGCCCGGGCCTCGCGGTGGAGATGGGGACCTTACATCCCGACCGCCTCCGCCCCATCGCGATCCCCCATACGGGCCATACCAAGAGCCTCCGCGCGGTGAGTCTGGATCCAAAGGATATGACATGTACGGACCCAAGTATCGCATGTCTGAGGATGTATGGTAAGGGATAGATGAGCTTTGGAGACTGCCGCTGCCTGGGCCCCAGGCTGAGTGAGAGCGAGCGTCGTAGGGGCGTCTGGTACCCCAGTCTGCGCCGTGGCCGAGACCGGTGACGTTGAAAGGGTCGTTGTTGTAGAAAGGGTTGTTGCTCATGTTTTCTGGTGTTGTTGTTGTAGAGGGGGTTGTTATGTGCGGGAAGATGTGTTATGCGAAGCTTAGAAGCAAGAGGATAGGAAGCTTTATAGAGAGATGTAGTGGGTATATGTACTGTTGGCAAGTCTAGTTCTGGTGCTATACACAGACATGTTCACGCTGGCCTTCGTTCATTGAACGCTCGACATGTTACTGCTCACATTCCAATATACCAACGTTTGGCCAATACATGAATACACCATCCTCCAAGTATATACCCAAACAGTAACCTTGGAGTCTACGTTGTAACATCTACACCTCACATGCCTGTTGTGTCGACGTCATATCCGCCGCCAACATCTACGCTGTTTTCTCTTGCTTAAATCTCAGCTCATATCGTAGTCAGGCTTGTTCCATTCGTAGACGTACCGACTACTTCTTCGCAGTTCCTCCACCAGGAGTGAAGGACGGAGCCGCGGCGTTCAAGCCCTTTGCAGGTGTAGCAGGCGAAGCCTTGTCGTTGTTGGTGTTGTTGTTGTTGTTGTCGGCTGATGAGTTCAATGCCTTTCCCCAAACAGTCCCATTCTTGGGGTACGCGGTTGGCGCGCCCCAGTCCTTGCCGTGGCCGATACCTGTGACTTTCCGCCAATCTTCGGGGGGGTTGTTTCCAGACATCGCGGTTGTTGTGTAGGCGTTGGTTTACTTCTATTACTGGTTGAGTAGACTGTGGGGTATAGAACTCATATATGGTGTGCGATCGTGGGTATACGTACCTGTATTTGCGATAGTTGTTGTTGGAGAGTATCTTCCAGTGGTGGCTACGATCAACGACGAGAGAACGGACATTGCGAGTAGCTCAATGAAAGAGTCAGATGTGGCTTGATCTCGTGCGCATCACAGTAGTGAAGGGTAGCATTAGGCATGGTAAATTCACTGCTCGAACGATGCTAGGGCATGTGTGATGAGTGCAGTTCGCAGCCCGACGACATTAGTCTTCTATGCATCACAACCGCCAGCGAACATCTGGATTAAGCAAGCTCAGTCTAGACAACTACATATCTTGATTCTGCTGAACGTCGGCTGCCTATGACAAAGCGCGATGGTCTTCAACGACTTGTCTTCCTTTGTTTCACCCCTCAATTGTATTCCGACCACTCCTGGCTTCCTTATTCTTTGCAGCACGCCCTTCGCATTCCCGTATGAGGTTTTCGATTCCCGCAACATACTCAGGCTGGTTCCTTTTCTCGAAAAACGTCTTGAGCGTGCGCAGGCAATCGAGAGTCTCCACCGGAACATGATCTTCCCCTTTCTCTGCATCAATTATGCTTAAGCAATCATGAATGTACATCCGCGGCTCAGGCTTTCCTTCTTCTGGTATAAGCATCCCATACATGAGAGTGACCAAGGTCCTAGTCAAGGAAGCGTATTCTACATCAAAGCTTTCGTGACGCGGAATGAGCTTCCCTTGGAGCGCAAAGCTGGTATTGTGTGCATATGGCTTGAGCATATTCGCAACGAACTGAAGCTCTTTGAGCACATATTCCCGCTTCTCTGCCGCTGATGCATCCTCTGGATATTTCCAGTCCATAGGTATAGCGCCCCCCGGGGTCTTGTGAATATTATTGTAGGTCGAAGTGTCCAGCCAGCTGAATACCATAGTAGGCTGCAACAAGGCCTTCTCCTCATCAGTTAGAGTGTCGAATGACATTGCCACCCGTTCAGCTCGAGCAGTCTTCTTCCAAATTCGCTCTGGGAGTAGCGACCTGGGGGGTAAAGATTGGATGAAGTTAGGGTCGTTGTTGAGTTTACGCAATGCCACAGCCTTCTCGTAATGAGATCTTTGTGCAGATCGCTCCTGGAGGTATGTTCCCGATACCGATACTGTTATATCGGACACAAGGAGCGGAGTCGAGAATCCAGTCGAGAAGGCTCCGAGCCGACCAAGTAGGCGATGTCCAATGGAGAGACTCCGTAAGCTCCTCATTCTGAAAGAAAGGAGCATACCTCCTATTCCACCAATAATATTAGAATCATCCCTCGTAAACCCCTGACTGCTTTGCCATATCTGAGATTTTGGGAGATTGATTCCTTCATAATGAAGGATGCTTCTTCTGATCTGACTTTCCCAGTGCGTCAACCAAGCTGCCAGAGGCGCAGCAAGAGCAAGAGAATAAAAGCCTGCTCTGGTAACAAAGTACGCAGATTTCGTCGGCAAAGTCAGCAAAGGGCGTCTGATGATCGTCCGGCCCAGAAGCAGAGTCGCTGCCGCTGTTGGCGCTAATAAGACCAATGCAGTGGCAGTATTTGCAACACCAGGTTCTTCTGTCTTGGGAATAGCAGGATGTAGACCTTTTCATTGGTGAGAACATATTTGGTGTGCAAAATTCGATGTAGTCGTCAACTCACCTGCACCCTGAGGCGGGAAAAGACGAACCATTGTCAAGGTTCATCTACGGTCATAGACCTTAAAATGAGGTTCTCGCTGATTTCAGACCAGGTTTCAGCCTGTCTCTAGGATGAGCTGAAGCGAAGGAGCTGGAAGATCATTTTGACGCGTGGAGTTGAGGAGCGATTGGAGATGCGGCGTGGTTGCACAAGTTAACATCCGCATGAGGCTAGATCCCGCGGACATGACCGCTTACTCATCATCGAATCTTCGCATTCGCTCAACACCAACGAGCTCGTCGCCAGCAGGAAGATAGCCATCCACAGCCATGCCACCACGGCTAAGAGCGGTCCGAGCCGCCTCATCTCTCCTGTTCATATGCTCGAGAGCACCCGCAGCGACATCGGTCGCCCCCCTCCTCGTGCCCGCCCAGCAGAGATGCGCATCCATTCTTTCCTCGCTCTCCGACAACGCAGGCGCCTACAATAAAAAGATCCGACGAGGTCGCGGTCCCGCTTCGGGAAAGGGAAAGACTGGTGGACGCGGTCAGAAGGGTCAGCATGCACACGGCAAAGTCCCCGCGGGCTTCGAGGGAGGTCAGACACCACAATGGATCACCAACCCCGAGCGAGGGCGGGGGAAGTACAACCCGTTCAAGGTCGAGATGTCACCCATAAATCTGGACCGGATACAGAGCTGGATTGACCAGGGGAGGTTGGACCCGAAGAAGCCCATCACCATGAAAGAATTGGCCAAGTCGAGGTGTCTGCACGGTGTCAAGAGGCATGGCGTTAAGCTGCTCGCGAGGGTATGAGAAGACCAACCAATGATGGCTACGCGAATGCTAATTGTGGCCGTAGAATCCAGAGCAATTGACCACACCCATCCACATCGTCGTCTCACGCGCCTCTGCCGACGCTATCGCACGCATCGAAGCCCTCGGCGGCAGCGTGACCACACGCTTCTACTCTCCCACATCCATCAAGCGCGTCCTCCGCGGCGACTCACACCCCACCATCTCCATCCAAGCCTCGCCAGACCTCGTCTCTCTCACTGCTCGCTCCGCAGCCGCCAAGATACCATCTCCCATCATCACTGCGCTCCAGACGGCCGCCGAAGAAAAGAAGAAGGAGGCTATGGTTGCTGTCATGAAGCAGATCGGATCGAAGTACAAGTACAGGTTGCCTGATGCGACGGCAAGAAAGGACATCGAGTACTACCGCGATCCAGCGCATAGAGGATACTTGAACTACACAATGAAGGATGGCGAGAGCCCGTCTTTGTTCTTCAAGCCGCCCGGCGAGGCAAAGGACAGGAAGAAGCAGAGCGCGAGGAGAGACGCGGCCAAGGCCAGTGCGGACAACAAGCTGTTCTAGAGAGGGGCGATGAAGCATGTATCATACTATGTGTATAACGCTGAGTTGGTCCCGCAAATATACCACTACAATACGTGGGCCCACAGTGCTCAGCCATGAATTGACTCATATCCGTCATGAACAT